ATTTTTATCCTAAATATTCTAATAAATATATAAGTATTTATATTATATATTAACTATACTAAATATATACAAAAAATAAAATATTTATTATTTATCAAAAAAGTGTATTTTAATAAAATGTTTTCAAAAGATAAAATAAAATAAAATCAGAAAATAAAATGTATTTTGTATTATTTTTAGTATTTTAAATAAAAGTATATATGTTATTTTATATATATAAGTTCAAATAAAACAAATAAAATCCAAATAAAATGCAAAAAATGGGTGGAAAATGTTTTTAATATTTTTTATATTTTGACAAAAAATAATAAGTCAGAGGAAAAAATAAAAAGTCAAAAATGATTAAAAAAATACACAATGGGCCAAGGGGGTGTAAGTGAAAAATGAAGGTGCAAACAGAAAAAAAATCTCAGGCCCAGCCCAAGGAGGCTTGTCTTCAACCTCCAGCCAGTTTCAAACACAAAAACGCGCGTTTTCTTCCATCCCTGCTATCTCTTGATCCTTTGACTTTTAACAAAAACTTATAACATCAAAAATGTAGAGCATCAAACCACGAATTCATACATATAAAGAACTTGATCTAACTCTCAGAAATGAGAGAGAATTTCTTCTCCCCCAATTCCTAACCTAACTTTTGTTTAATGTTCAGGTTCAAAATTTTCTCAGCACACACAACATAAATGAAAAGTGAGGATATGGGTAGCTTCAGGGCCATGAGTAGGACATAATTTCTTCACAAACCTAAGCATAGATATGCCTGGATTGAGAGATAGAACTTCAAACTTTTACCTGTTCAGCTTGAGTCGTGCACAACAATGGAGGTGCTTTCAATGGAATTTGAGGATTTGCACAGCTTTCCTGAGGTCCAAGGATACTTCCTCTATGCTTGGTGTGCCTTGAATCCTTTTGAATCAAGCTATGGAAGTCAACCTGCAAGAGAGAAAAGTGAAAATGGCACACTTGGCTATGGGTGTTACAGTCTGTTTCCAAGGCTTGGGATAGTTTGTATGAATGGTAGGGAATGTATTTGAACTGGTTTGGATGAAAACGCACGATGGAATGATGTTGGCCAAGTCAATCTGCAACAGGGACTCTGTTTTGCAGAAAAAATATGCTTTGATGGATGAGGAGGTATTGAGGGTTAAGGGCTCGTGTTCTAGGTTGGTTAGGGAGTATGCAATGTATGGACAAAGTTTGTTTAGGATCTTGCTTGCAGGAAGTGAATGTGGTACTAGTTTTGCAAAGTTACTTCAAAGATAAGTAAGGAAGTGTGTATTGACAATGCAGGCCTGTACTACCCTCAATCTATGCTGCACAAATCACTCTTGATCAGTGGAATTTGTTCATGAACTTGTGCCCAAATATCTGCTTTGTACTGCTTAGATTGTGAACTTGACATAAAGTGCTTCTTTACAAGAATGGCTAAAATGCTTTTTCCATTTTAAGACTAATCCTTTGTGTAATGACTTAATGAACAAGATAATGCTAGGACACAAAGGTTTTGCATTAAATTATTGAGTAAGAATGGGATTAGAGGCCTGTAATCTAGCTTGGATCATGCTGAGTTCAAAATGCCAATGTTATGTACATGAATTTGGCCATGAACAAAGTGACTTTTGCCCATCTTGACAAATTCGAATCTCTCCAACCACAAGGGTGTTTGATGAGTTATTGGACAATTTGGAAAGCTTGGAATGTGTACTACAATCCATCTTTGTAATGCAAGTTGAAATTCCAAGTGGAAGCATGTGAAAAATGGCCATGAAGTTGGGTAAAATCCTGCCTAAAATAGGTCAAAAAATTTCTAAGTTAAGAATGTTTTGCACCCCTATTCCAAAAATTATAACTTGAGCTACAAGTTCTTTTGAGGAAACTTTGTGAATCAAAGTTGTAGATTTTGCAATGGACTATAACTTTCATGTTTTAAGTTTTGCTTGAATCCAAATACATCTTGATGAAAAAATGGGACAAAGTTAGGAAAAAATTAGGAAATTTCATAACTTAGAAAATTTCTAAGTTATGAAATTTCTTCATTTCAAACCCTAATTTGTAATTTTTGGTTTCTTGATGAACAAGTTTCATAATTTGACATGTTTTGATGAAAAATGAATCTTGACACTTGATTTTGACCAAAAAGTCAAAGTTTGACTTTTCAATATACAATCAAATTTTGATCAGTTGACTGGAAAATTCATATGTCAATCTTGTGCATTTGGGATCTTTTGAATTTGTTGAACATGTCAAGACAATGCCATTGAGTCCTTGAGTCCATATGTGAGCTTGAATTGCCATTGGTTAGGTCAAACAGTCAAAAATTGCCTTTGTGCAGTCAAAACCCTATAAATGACCATTTTGCCCTTTTGGTGATCTGATCAAATTTCTTGTGGAATTGTGATCCAAACTTGACCAAATGGTTCATATGAGTTCATAATGTTGATGTGGGTCAAAAATCATGAGGTTTGACTGTCAATTGACCACAGTTGACTTTTTCCCCAATACAGCTGATTTCTAGGTCAACTGTCCAATTGATTGGGCAAAGATTGGAATCAAGGCTTGAAACTTGGTGAAAAAACCGGCTGAAAATCATCAAACAATGAAGTCGACATCAAACGTATTTTATCCCACGTGAAGGTAAAGGTAAACATCGAGAAAACCCGAGAAGGATGAAATCAAGGTCGAACGACCAAGAGATAAGGGTAAGGGAGTCTGTTACGCGAGGGGAAGGTATTAGCACCCCACACGCCCGTAGTACTCTACGGTATCCACTCTTGTTATCTATCTTATGGGTGTGTTTAATATATGCTTACTGTCTATTATTGCTAAAGGGAAAGTGCATGCAAAAGAAAAGGAGAAAAGAATGTAGGGAAAATAAAATTGTGCTCGCCTGGGCCCTACCCCAATGCCTACGTATCCGTTTTAAGGAATCAGAGCAGCCGTAGTTCGGCTTATGTGTTTTTGTTTGTTTGTATTTTCTTTAACGAACAGTATTAATCTCGCCTTCTGCCGTAACTCGACCTTTGGAGATTTACGCGTCAGCACAGAAGTGAATTAATACGCTCTTTTGAAAAGGATTTGAAAGAAAGGCCCGAGGGCAAAAAGATTTTTATGTTTGTTGGTGTTTTTGCTCGTAGATAATAACTAGTTAACCTCAAGAGAGAGATTTTAGCCATTTCTCTACTTATTCATGAAATGAGTCTTTGAGACTTGAACCACACAAAAGCTTAGAACAAGAGAATAATAATGTCGAGAAGAAACCCGCTCATCATCTCTCAAACTTAGCCAAGACATGGTTTTCGTCAGTAAATTTTTATGTATTTTTGAAGTTTGTAAAAAAAAAAGTTTTTTGTTTTAACTGCATATGCAAAAAGAAAAAAAGAAAAGTCACAGGGAGACTAACCTATTTCTAAACCTAAAGTCATCATACCATGCAATCTATGGGAAGTGATAAATGCGGGGTGAGAGTGGAAATAAAATATACCAAACGAGTACTAGCTCGTGGAGCAAAGTAAAAAAGCAAAGAAACTTGATGATCTCACGAGCTGCTAGCATCAACAAAGAAAAGAATTAGAAATCCAATGCTCGGAATAAGTGTTGAAGCATCATCGATGTGAAAATAAATCACACTCGAAATTTCAAGGGTATCCACATATCACACAATAAGCATGCATAAGACTCAAATCTCCAAAAAACAAAAGTGAATCACGAGTCTCGAGTAATCGGATAATCAAGAATTAATTTCTAAAAATATCTCTTACAATCTAACATTTTTTAGGTTTTTATTATATCAATATTTTTATTAACAAAATTGTTATCTAACGACTATGAAAAGAAAAGGCTAAAGAAAAGCTAGAAAAACTCTACACAGGGGTGTGTGAGTCTGAAGCAGGGTGTGTATTGTAGTAACATTGACTCGCAGGCCCAACCCAATATTTTATACCTCACCAAAAACCAACTCCCGAAAATAATGGCCATGGACCTGAATGGTGTATACCTCGGTCCACTAAGATCATACCAAGATCCATCCACCTTTTATTCAGCTTCGTGTATCTCCACTGTTATCAATAAAAGGAATTAGAAAAACACAACAAACAAATAAATGGCGTGATTTTATTCCCAGGGTTCCCAAATCGTGTGACGGTTAGACTTCAAGAGAAACAAAGTCCTCTTACTCTTCCCTCAATGGTGCCGAATCACACCTCCGACTCGTTCTTTCTACTTTGGTTTCACAATTCACTCGTATCTCAAACCTCTGATCCTCTCTTCATTGTTCGTTTTTGATCCGCCTCGGTTCACACGTCTCTCTTCCATCAACCTCTTCGCTGACTAAAATTCAAGTTTCATTCTTCGACAAAGAGCATAAAATGTAGAATGAAAGATTGAAGAAGGCTTACCAACCGGAGAAGGCACCCGGTGTCTCTTCGAGGGTGATGCCGACAATGAAAAATCTGAAGAAGTTTCAGGTACAATATCTCTTAACTTCTTTGCACGACTTCTTCTTCTTTTTCTTCTATTTCTTTTGTGAAAATTGTTGTTGCGGTTGTTGTTGTGAGTTGTGTTTGAGTGAGATCGTAGGAGTGTGATTTGAGTTTACAGAGAGATGATTTGATGAAGATGAAGCAGGGTTTCAGAAGTAAGTAAAAATGAAGAGTGGCTTGAAGGGTGAAGAGTATTGGTTAGAGAAGAAAGAGAGAGAATTCCGAAAACTTTTTGAGTTCTGGGTCAAAAATGAAGCGTGTTGATGGAAGAGGATAGAAAAAAAAAGGGTGGAGAGAGGATGAATGTTTGAAACTGGAAAAGAGAAAGTATCGTCCCATCCCCTCAAACTTGGAGGGAGTTTGGATTATATAGGTAGTTAAGGGAGGAAACGGTTATGTGAGAATCAATCTGAACCATTGATTTGGATAGAGTTTGTTAGGGATTGAAGGGTGAGATTGAGAGTTGGTTACAAGGTGGTTATGCTAGTTGGGAATTCTGTTTGGAGGTAGTTAGAGAGTTGTTAATTAATCTTCTGTTTCCCATTCTTCAAGCTTCTGTCCTACAAACAATTCCTTCAGCAACCTTAACAAAGGAACATCCAAAAATGGCATATTAAGATACCATTTGTCAGTTAATTCAACTTGTACCGCCTCTTTATTCTGATTAGATAAATTGCCTTTTTGAAGTTTCAGCCTTCCCACCAAGCTTAGTCTTGTGTTGATTGCTAGCGTTTGTATTAGTGTGCAGCTCAGTTTTAAACTTAACCTTGTCAGTACAATGGGCATCTCTTCCATATTTGAATCATTCGGGTTATCAAACTGGGTTTGGCTGGTTGGATCTAGTTGAGATGCAGAGCTTGATGTGGGCAAGCTAGAAGATGTTGTATGTGGCATGCTAGTGAGTGCTAAAGAACCTCTTGAAAACTCATCCTTTACAGTGCCTTGATTGACACCACTACCCTGTTCAGTTTGACCAGAATTAACAGAAGGCAACCCATGCAATTTAGATAAATGATTCCTATGTTGCTGCTCAATAGAAAGGTTGTTAGGTTCCTTTTTTACATATGAAACAGATGAAAACAAGCCAGAATTTTGTTCTGCTGAAGGTTGCCAAGAAGTTGAAGTTTGTTATGGTGCTGTATTGTTTACACCAGTCGACACAGATCCACCTGGCATTCTCTTAGGATCAGTGAAAGAACTTTGTCGTTCTACACCCAAGTGATTTAAACCAATATTCTGATGAGGAATTTGTCTTATGTGTGAATCATGAGGATGAGGTTGTGGTTTGAGAGATGACGAACCAGTAGTTGTCCCGGAAAAATGGTTATAGTTACCACCACTACTTCCATATGTCGATGGGAAATGTATATGCTGCTGTTGCTGCTTATTAAGGCCTTGTATGTGAACTGAGGATCTTTCAGTTTCTTGACTGAAGGCATTAGAACCTGATGATGGTAATTGATTTGGTTGCAAAACTCGAACATCATGTTCCAGAGACTTTTTAGCACCAATGTCCACAGTTGAATAGGTCGGTTCACTCTTCACTTGGATAGCTGAAGAAGTATTATGAGAATGGTCTGTAGCAGGATTCATACTTCTCTGATGCAGTTGTGCTAATGCATGGGGATCATTAAATTTTGTTCCACTGGAAGTAACCGTTGGCATCCTTACAGGGTGCTGCTGTCCAGAAGAACCTGCGTTGGCTTTTGTTTGTTGTTTCACTTTCGTCAATGCTATTCTAAGCATCTGATCCCCCACAATCCCTTTCATAAGCCGTACAAAATGATCTTTGGGTATTTCATCTTTCTTCAATTTGTTAAATAATGTTGTAAGTTGCATTGCTCTATCTTTGGCAAGTTGGGGAATCAAGATAGGGAGCAATAAGCCAAATGGCACCTGCTTACTATGATTGATTTGGCTACTAGGTTGTTCATTTACTGTGGCCTGTTGATTACTCATCTACTGCAATTTTGCATACTGTGATTCATAGTTGGGATTATTTGTTTTGATTACCTCATGGTTAAAGACAGGATCTTTTTCAGACTTCTGAACTTCATTTGTTTGAGAATGTTGGTGGGAAACCGGTACAGTCTGGCGTTGGAGACATTCATCTTGAGATTGTTTGTTTAATAAAGTAGGATTACTTGTATCTTGTGAGGTAACATTTTGTATATGTTCCACGACAGGTCCTTGTTGCTTCAGCTCCATTTCAGATGAAGGTTACTCTTGGGTTTTATCATCTGCACTGCTCTCTGTCATTACTTGAGTTGGACGCTGAAATGGTTCCACTTGTGGAGATGAGGAATCATGTCCAGATGCAGTATAAACAGCAGGTAGTATTGGTGTGTAAGGATTTGAAGTATGTACCATTTCTCCATCAGAAGCAACAATGTAACCAAGTGGTGGATGCATGCTCGTAGGTACCACGGGCAGCGTTAATACGGGGTTCTGAATCTGGTTTACGTCCAGCACTAGGTAATTATACTGACCATACTGACCATTTGCTTCATTAACCACAATAGGAAACTGAATAGGTAAAGCAACTGGATGCCCTGAAACACTTACGACAGAAGAATGTTGGAGCTTATCACTTTCCAAAGCCATGATTGGCAAAAATGGATTCTGATGAAATAGGGTATTTCCATCAGAAGCTGTAAAACCAAATTGAGACTTCGTATCGGGCATAACTGGCTGCATTCGTTGAACTGGAGAAGGCTTCTAACTCCTCTCTGTTTGAATCTAAGGAAGCATGTGGAACCTTGCTCATTCTCCATTGCATAGGAGGTAGAGGAGGCATAGGTTGCATCCCATCAAGTTTGTTTTCAGTTTCCTTAGGAAAGTGGTCAGGGAGAAGAGGCTTCAACGGATCTGTGACATATTGTGTATGGTTAATTTCCGGGCCAGATGATTGTGGTGAAGAACAAAATGACGGTGATTCATCTGCAGGGTTTTCTGAGACAGATTCAGAAGTAGCATGAGTGCCTTCTTACTTCATTTGATTTATATGCATCTGCTGAGATTGAGATTTCTCAGAGCCAAAGTTTTCCTCGTAATTGAGTGGAAACTCTCCATCCTGTTCATCAAGTTGACATTGTAAGTGTGGCTCAAAATAAGTTTCAAACTCCAACTTGTTATCAGGTGTAGATGAAAAACTATTTGTGTCATTCTGTATAAGATCATTCTGGCCATAACTAGTAGATTCTGACTGCCGGGTGTCAAACCCAGAAAATCCAGGCACCACTTTCGCATCATCCTGGAAAACACTCTGTAGGATTTTCTTCCTCTGAGGAGATTTTTCAATATTATTTCCCAAATCTGGAAGATCATCACAAGGCACCAATTTGTTGAGGTTCATTTGTACATCTGAAGAAACAAGTTCTGGATGACCCGCTGCCTTCTGTCCCTCTAGTGCTGTCAAAGATTCTCTAGCAACTACCTCATGGTCTTCTGTCTCTTTCTCATTTAGATCTGCAAAAGCAGAAACAGATTCTTCTAATTTTGTGAGATTACTCATTGGAGAATATAAAATATTAGTTGTATCTGGCAATGGTGCCAATTGACTCTCTGTATTTGAGTCCGATGAAATTTGAGTCAATTCCACTTCATTGGATTCCATTGGATAAGAGTCTGAAGAAGCGTGGACTAGTTCTCGCGGATTTGAAAGGCTTCTTGAAGGAGAACTAATCATACTTGAAGCTGGACAAGTAATGATACCCGCATCATTTTCAGCACTATCAACAGAAGGAATGGGTTGATCTTTTGACTCAGTGATCGCACCATTTACCATCACATGAATATAAGAAGAAGGATTTTCAATATGACCATCACCTTCAACTGGATCAACACTGCTGCTGAATCCATTTATTTCATCACCTAAATTCAAGCCTAATTCTTTGATGGATGGACAAAGGGAACCTTCTTGTGAATCATTACAAAGGGAATCATCAACCAAGTTGTCCGATGAAATTTTGTCAGAAGAGTACACAGGGACCGTATCATCTTTTATAAGGGAGGGAGAAGAAGGTTTGGAAGCAACAGATTCAACAAGACCTGATCTGTCTGCACCATTTCCTAATCTATTAAGCTCAACATTGTCAGAAACACTTTCATCTGACTGAATCACTGCAGGTAGCGTCACTGGTTTGGTAGGTTCAAGATCAGAACACAACATCTTTCCTGAAGTCAACAGCTCAGAATTTGTTTGCCGAGAGTCAGAAACCCCTTCTTCGTGAACATGGGCATCATCACACATGACAAACTTTCTATTATCTGTATTTTGAAACTCAACAATTTCTGGAAGCTGGTTGGATGGCAAGCCTTCAATCTCTGCTTCATGATATTTAGTAGTTGAGAATAAAATAGGTTCTGACTGTAAATTTTCAACCACAGTGCTCAATGAATCATAGTGAGGTAAATAAGATTTATCTTTCATGGAAGAACTATTTACATTTGACTTAGAGGATTTTCCAGTAGATTGAGAATCTGAAAAGTGAGCTTGCAGTTCCACATGCTCGTCTTCATCTCCTCTGAATGAGCTATTATTGTCTGATGTCGAGGAGGAGGCAACTTTTTTTGTGATACTGTGTGAAATGAGGGTAGCGGTGGGAATGGGGGTATTTTGGTATGATTGCTTGTATTGACTTGGATTTTTTTTTGTATGAATGTGCAGGTCATGAACTGAAGATGAAGAACTTTGGCATGGCATGGAATTAGAAGTTTACTCATGGAATTTTAGCACCTTTAGGACTAAAGAATTTTGTTCAAGTGTATTTTGTAACAGTTTTTTTTCTTTGTAGAATATTGGTGTAATGGGATTGTAATGATTTTATAATGAATGTTTAGTTTGGATGAACTTGAAATTTATAGTGTGAATTATTAATGACTTTGAGCTTGAAATGTCGGGTGATGGATTTTTTTTGGACGGAGTTTAAATGACAAAGTCTTGAAAAAATGCTTGAAGACATGAAAGCATCAAATTTTCTTGTGGTATTGTTACACTTGAATGAAATTGAATGGAATTGGATAGTATTTTCTTGAATCATGAATGAAAGGGTTCGAATAAACTTTGAACACATGTCAACTTGAATCCGGAATAACGATGAACATCTTTGTAATGCGTATGAACTCCGACTTGAAACAAGACCTCGCAGTCTGTACTTTACCTTCCAAGAAACTCATATGATCAATACTTAAGGCTCTTTGCCAACTTTAATCCAATCAAACACTTTCGAACATCTTGAACTCAAATCAAACTTCAAATCCAAATCACACTTGCATTCTCAATGAACTCCTAACTTTAATCTTGAACCCAAATCAACTTGAATGACAAATAATTTGAATAGTCAAGAAGATCTTGATCCTAAAAATTCACAACCTCGCCCTTTTGCATCATGCCTCATCCTACGATTCAATCCACAAGTCTCTTATCTCGACGAGGTCCTTCTCTAATTGACGACCTTTAATCATCAAAGATGTACACAAATGATAATGAAAGAATATGATCAAGATTAATATGAAACCTTATTTCCCATGATCTTCAATTACTTGAACTTTTATCAATGAATAGAAATCCTGATTTTTAATGAATTTTTTCTTTTCTGAACCAATATTTCTTTTCCTTTACCATACCATTCTTCAAATGCAACTCGAATTCCCAACACATATTAGATGAAAATTCAAGGGAGACCTTGGTCCCAAAGTTAATTTTTCAAAGCTTACTTTAACCGAAGTCAACAGATCTTATCCACATATCTTTGAAATTGGCCCATGATTATGCATCTCAAGGTCTCATAAGAGCTTGTAAGCCCATCAACCAGGTATGCCATGTTGAACAAACCCTGCCTTGAATGCCTTGAACCTTGAATTAACTTGCATGAATTCTCTTATGAGAAACCTACTTCAACCCAAACCTACTTGCATCGCAGATAACAAATGACAATGATGAGGACAATGATTGCCTTGGTTAAGGAGAAATCTATGAATTCATATCTTAGGTCATGAACCACCCTTCACAATTCAATCCTCAGTCCTTAGCGGTCGATTATTTCAACTTGAGATTAGTGTCATAAGGAACATCTTACAGATGGATGATAAAGTCTGAATCACAGAAGAATTCCCTTGATGTGAAACCCTCACAATCTTGATTCCTCGTTCAGACGCACAGAGAAATATCCGGATAAAACATCTTTGAACCATGATTCAACAAAACCTAATTTGATTAACTGAGGAGTAGATGATTGTCATGTCACAGTCATTAATCCTAATCAAATGACAAGCATACTTATAGGAAAGGACGTCATGATTCGAAGCCCACATATGCTAGGTCACGTCCTAGAGTTCTTGACCAGAATGACCTACAATCGGTTGTTTATCAGAAGATAATAGCCTTGCTGCTTGAGGGAGAAGAAGTCCTTTATTGGATATGAGCGCCTTAACCACTATGAAACCCTAGTATCGCACAACCACTGAACTTTGAACCTCAGAGCTATATTGAATGAAATGTATGCCACGTTAGTGACCTAATGAAAAAGATGCAGATGAATGCAAAAGTCTAAGCCAAAAATAAAGGAAATTCGGAGGGCAAATTTTGGGGTGCAACAGCTGCCCCTATTTAATCGTCTTCAACCTGAAGGTGAGATTGGCGCCAGCCTTTCGAACTTTCAAGGTGGAAGAAGATTAAATACTTAAAAGAACCCAAAAATTTGCGCTCCGGAGTCAGTTAGGTATTATTATTTTTCTTTTTCGGAATCTATTTTTATTATATTATTTTGCTTTTTGGATTACATGGGTTATCGGGGTTAGATGTATGTTTAACCAGAGTTTGATACACAGCAGAATAACTTGGTTATCAAGGAACATCTGTTGGGATTTAGTAACAAACACCTGTAAGAAAGGTATCAAAAGATATATGCCTGAAGCCTGTAGTAGACATAAAAAAATATAAGAGACACATATCTGGGGTTGGTAGCGGATATACAAGAAAGAGACATCAAAAATACATATCCGTGGTCGGTATCGGACACGTAAGAAAGAGATATAACAGATACATATCCGTGGTCGGTATCAGATACGCACAAAAGATATAGAAAAGATACATATCCGTGGTCGGTATCGGATACGCACAAAAGAGATATCAAAGATACATATCCGTGGTCGGTATCGGATACGCACAAAAGAGATATCAAAGATACATATTCGTGGTCGGTATCGGATACGCACAAAAGAGATATCAAAGATACATATCCGTGGTCGGTATCAGATACGCACAAAAGAGATATCAAAGATACATATCCGTGGTCGGTATCGGATACGCACAAAAGAGATATCAAAGATACATATCCGTGGTCGGTATCGGATACGCACAAAAGAGATATCAAAGATACATATCCGTGGTCGGTATCAGATACGCACAAAAGAGATATCAAAGATACATATCCGTGGTCGGTATCGGATACGCACAAAAGAGATATCAAAGATACATATCCGTGGTCGGTATCGGATACGCACAAAAGAGACATCAAAGATACATATCCGTGGTCGGTATCGGATACGCACAAAAGAGACATCAAAGATACAAGAACATATGTCTGAGGTTGGTAGCAGACATATGAAACAGGTATCGAAAATACATATCCGTGGTTGGTATCGAATACGTACGAAAGAGACAGACCGAAGAAAGCTCTTGCAAAGAAACACCAATCGAAGGCGGACTTACTGAGGAAGGAGACCAAACGAAGGGGACTCCGGACAAATGATGTCAATCGAAGGTGGATTTAAAAGAAATGACACCATCCGAAGCGGGATTTTGACAAAAGATACCAGGCGAAGCGGGGTTTTGAAAGATACAGGTATGCATGTCTGGTCAGAGTTAGATACACAAGAGCGAAGTTGATCATCAAGAAACAAATGTTTAGAATTGCTAGCGAACACAGGAACGAGACTAACCGAAGAAAGCCCCAATAAAAAGGGCGCATTCGCCTAAATAAGGATGCTAGACAACTAGACTTTGAAGAGACACTGAAAGACTCTTAACATAAAAGATTAGTTAGGCTAACAAAAGGAGGACCCGACTAATGTGGATAAACCAAAACAAGTAACCGACTAAGCAGGACCTTCAAAGAGCATCGATCGAATATGCTCTGCAGGAGAAAGGGACTGGTCCAAGTAGACTTTAACAAAGAAAACATGTTAGGCTCTCGATAGGTTGCAAATACGCAAGAACTAAAAAATCCCTCAGGCCAAAGGCAGGGTGTAATTCTTCAAGAGTGGCAATCATCTGAATTACCACACACCAAGTATGGATACTCAAATACTTGAGAAATAAGAAAGGCTATACGCCGACTCTTACTCGCACTCTAACGGCAAAGCAAACACAGGTAAAATAACAAAAGGCTTGCAAAGGCAAGCGTAAACCCCAATTTACTGGGGAATCCCATATGTATTGAACTTAAACAGAACGCCGGTCGAAGGCGGTCTTGTGATCAGAAGAAAAAAAAGAGACCAACTGTAGGGACTCTAAACAAGGATTGCCAACATGCATTGGATTTTAAAAGTTTTGCAAATACGCAAGAACTACAAAATTCCTCAGGCCAAAGGCGGGGTGTAATTCTTCAAGAGTGGAAATTATCTGAATTACCACACACCAAGTATGGACACTCAAATACTTGAGAAATAAGAAAGGCTATACGCCGACTCTTACTCGCACTCTAACAACAAAGCGAACACGGGTAAAATAACCAAAAGCTTGAAAGGGCAAGTGTAAACCACGATTTACTGGGGAGATGGAGGAATACCAAAGACCCGACTGATGGTGAATCAAAACAAACCCCGTTGGGGAAACATAATAGAGTCACCCTTAGGCTTGTTGTGGAGATAAATCAAATCTGAGCGCATAACAATCTGGTTACCACAAGTGGACATAATTGGCTTATACTTATGCATGTTTGAATTTTTTTATAGCGTAATGCTCCATGCAATCGAAATGATATGCATTTTAGTAGATGCGATGTAATGATGCAATGTAATGATGCATGTTTAGTAATGCACTGGGGAGACCATGTCAATAATCGGATGTCGGGAAGACAATGAACTTTCAAATGATTACTCTTGCACATCTAATCTTCTGTAGAGAACATGCAATATGAACTTCAGTAGGAAATCGAGATTCGAAACCATCAACCTCGAACGATTGATAACATTGAAGAAATAACTTCCTGGGTAGTAATACTGCAAAAAATAAATTGCAGTTTGAGAGAAAATCTTGAATTCTGATCAAACTTCCAAATTCCTGGGGGATATATACTTTATCTTTTGTTAGAACGGGGAGAGCTTCGCTGGGGATGGAAGCTTTCTCTTGCGCAGAACTTCTTTACGAAGATAGCTTCTACTGGGGAGTATAGAAATTCTTAAATAAATAGGATTCTACTCAGACCACACTGGGGATAACAACGCCGGGGGATAAAAATCTTCACTTGGGGAAGAACCAAACATCCTAGGACAGAAACTCCACCGCTGACATTTCAATAAAATCCTTCATATTCCGGGATGAAGGAGCTATAATTGGTGCTCCCATGTGCACCATACTGGGGAGAAGATGACACTTGTTCTAGAAAGCATGCTCCACTAGGGAATGAAAACTCGCTTCACTGGGGAAAATACTGCAAAAATAAATTGCAGTTCAGGGAAATTTTCGAACTCTGATCCAAC